GGTATCAAAGGCAGTTTATAATTCGGAATGAGACAATCTAGTAAAATTTTCGTATTTTCACGTCGTACCTTTTTGTTTTTCTTCTTTTGATGAGCGGAGAGACAAAAGTTGACAAATTCTTCTTCGTCACTAGAACTATCATCCTCGGATGACTCGCTATCGCTTTCCCATGTGATGTAAGCTCTTCTCGGCTTAACTTGCTTCTTGTGTGACCGATTACTCTCATTTCCTTTGTCCTTTTTCATCAAAGGATAATCCGACTTGTAGTGTCCGGCTTTTCCGCAATTGAAGCACGACCCTCTAACTCTACTTCATTTGTTGTCCTCATTCTTAGAAGATCTTGATTATTTTCTGAAATTGACTAGATTCTTTTTGGAATGTTGGATACCATTTTTCCTGACATAACGATTGTATCGCTTCACAAACAGCCCCATATCCTCATTCTTTTTGTCATCTTCGTCATCACTCGAATCGTAATCACTCAGCTCTTTTGCATAGGACTTTGAACAAGAATCCTTTAGAGCTATGGACTTCTTTTTCACATTTTTGGTTTTCTCCTTCTTTTCCCTTTTCTCAAATTGCTCGAGACTAAAAAGCACTTGCTCGTGTTCTTGAAGCTTTCCAAAGAGTGTTGTAAGGTCCAAGGTCATAAGATCATTTGTTTCCTGTATGGCAGTGACTTTTGGTTGTCATTCTCTGGTAAGACATAGTAAGACTTTGTTAGTCGCAACATCATTGGAAACTGGTCTACCAAGTGAATTTAGTCTATTGATAAGATGAGAAATTCTCTTTTGCATGTCAGCAATGGTTTTCCCTTGCTCCATGTGAAAGAGATCAAACTCTTGTGTCAAAGTATTGATTCTAGCTAATTTGGCATCATTTGTTCCCTCATGGGCAACTTGTAATTAGTCCCACATAGCCTTAGCAGTAAAACAATGGGAAACTCTATAGTATTCATCAACTCCCAAGGAGGATATCAGAATATTTTTAGCTTTCCAATCGTAATTGTACTTTTTCTCGTCTTCATCATTCCATTGTGCTTCAGGCTTAGGCACAATCCTGTTATTTTCATCGGTTATGGTTATTTCCATAGGACTGTTCAAAATAAAATTTCATAACTTCCTGTCAATGGAATTTATATGCACATGCATACAGTCTTTCTAGTAACTATAGTTTTCACCATTGAAAACAAGTGCTCTATTATAAGCCCCTTTAAGTTCGTTAGCTATTTTCTACTAAGTTATATGTGAAGCACGGAATCAACCGGTGCTCTTGATACCACTTGTTAGACGATGACACAGATCTAGAAGGGGGGTTGAATAGATCGCTTGTTTAAAACAGAGTCGGCGCTATCAAAAATTGGTTTTTAAAAATGTTTGAGGCGGAAGCGGCCGAAGAACTATATTCGTCTAAAACGAACCTTTACCGAAAAAACCGAATATGCGTAAAGACTGTGGAATTCGGTAAAATGAGATTTAAGAATCAATAACTTGATCACACTTCAATCATATTTTGTTCACTATAAGGTGTGACTAGTTCCAATGCTTTTAAAATATAGACAATTTGAAAAGATGGCACAATTGTTTTTAGTTCACACAATTGGTCAAACACTTGGAGTGCAAAACACTACAAGTGAATTCTATTATGAGAGTAAAGTGCTCAAGTGTTCTATTACAATCAAAGATTGTAACAAGCTTAAAACTAATTCAGCACTACTCAAATCAGAATTTGATTGACAACAATTGTTTGCACTTAAAACTCAGAATATAAGCAATATACACCAATCCTAATTTTAGACGTTATCACCTCGAACATGCAGAATGCACAACAAAAATGATTATGTGTAGTTGTTGTAAAAATGCTATGAAGAGGATGAAGATGATGAGAACAAATCAGTATGTTATTTTCACTTTTCTTGTTTTTCTCAGTTCTTTGAAAGGAAGAGCAAAACTCACTCTATATACAAGACATAACTGATTAACAAACATAACAAACACCAAGACTGTTTCACATAACATATTTTTGACTAAATTTCAGCGAGCGGTCGACCTATGCAGAAAGGAGGGTCGACCTGAGCTTACCCGTGTTTCTGATTGTGCAAAAAACAGAATCTTGCGTTGAACGGAGCAGGTCATGTGTCGACCCAAAGCATGCAAATTTAGGCAAATAAAAATGGACTCAGTATGAGTCGACCGGAGAGTCGACGTGAGCCCTTCTGAGAGTAGTCCATTAAAAAAACTATCTGTATGAGTCGACCGGAGCTAGCTTTGAGTCAACTCGAAGCCCTGAAATGTGCAAAAATGCCTATTTTCATGTATCAAGACACTTTTGATGAACTCTATTACATGGTAAGCTTGACGAGTTTGACCAACCCTACATGAAACACAGATTTAGCCATTTCTATATGCATCAATAATGTTTTTGACAAGTGTTTGACTCACGAGGGACAAGACATGCAAATGTAACACGATGATACCGTCCAAAGTATATTTTTCTATCAATCTAAGTTTTGACATCATTGAAACAAGTGTAGCTATTTATGAGGATTGCCCTCACAAGTATCATTTGACTTTTGAATTTAATTGATATGTACAATTAGTGTAAATATTTTTTGATTTATTTAAATATTTTGACTTTTTTTCTAATCACTTCAAAAGTAATACTATCAGATAATTGTGATATATCGACAATGTAAAACTTATTACACCAACAATGTATAACAATTAATCTCTTAACTTTTTATATAAAACTATCGTAGATGCGTGTTAAAAAAATATTTATTTTGATAATTAGTACACATTCAAAATTATTCTTAATAAAATCCAATGGTTTAAGTTGAACCATAATTTTAAACGAGCATAGTAATTGAGATAATTAGACCTATAACTAGATGAATTATAAATAAATAAAAGTGAAATAAAATTAGAGTTAAATACATTTTAAAATTCTATAAATATTTTAAGTTATATTTTTTTTGTCTTTAACATTTTTCAACGAATATGGGGGCTAAAAAATTGTCCGTCACAAATTTTAGCTATGCTGCTTAACTGAGTCTAATTTTATTATAGTCAAACTATCTAAATTATTTAATTATATATATATATATATATATATATATATATATATATATATATATATATATATATATATATATATATATATATATATATATATATATATATATATATATATATATATATATATATATATATATATATATATATATATATATATATATATATATATATATATATATATATATATATATATATATATATATATATATATATATATATATATATATATATATATATATATATATATATATATATATATATATATATATATATATATATATATATATATATATATATATATATATATATATATATATATATATATATATATATATATATATATATATATATATATATATATATATATATATATATATATATATATATATATATATATATATATATATATATATATATATATATATATATATATATATATATATATATATATATATATATATATATATATATATTTAAATTTAAAATAAATTATTTAATTATAAAATGAACAATAATTATATTAACTCGAATATATTACATAATTATATGAAAAGAAAAGAAAAAAAATATATGTGAGATAGAGAAAAATAATTTAACATTTTAATATAAAAATTTTGCATTATAAATAAAAGTAATTATTAATTAAAATAAAATAAATAATAGGTTGACTGTAAAAAGAAAAGAACGGAGAGGAGTTTCGCTTTGTCAATCTTTTAAATTATTTTTGAATTAACTTATATTATTAATTATCTTTTTCTAGAATTAAAAACAAATAGAGTATTTGATATTTTTACCGAAAAAATTAAAATAAAATTGAATATTAAAGATAAACTTAGAGTAGAATTGAATTGATAATAAAATATAACTTTTATTATAAATAACATTTAATTTTTTTTTCGTAATTTCTTTTTAATTAATTTATAAAAATTGACGTTAAAATTTAATTGAAAAAAATTAAATAAATTAAGAATTTGATTTTAATTTTTTAATTAATTTATGAAACTTGACGTTAAAATTTAGAGAATAAAGGTAGGGCATTGATATTATAAAATAGTTTTAGAATGTCATTTAAGGAGGATTTATCAATCAACTATATTATATATCTAATTTAAAAATACCAAGATGACTCGACAAAATATATGGTGGTGATTGATTGACAGTGTTTTTTCTCTAAAATTTAATTGAAAAAAATAAATTAAGAATTTGATTATAATTTTTTAATTTAAAGATACATTTTAATCAAGGATTTATATTTAAAAAAATTGAGGCAAAAAAAATAACATGAAGTTTTAATTGGGCTAATAAAAACAGTTTTTTTATGCATGTTTGATCCAAGCCCAATTAAAACCGTAGCTCTATTGCTAAATGAGATAAGGATCTTTCATTTTCCTCCTTGCATTAAGTGGCTGCTTGGATTATTTACAGATTTTTTTTTACTGTTATGTCACAAATATGAAATTTAAACACTAAAAATGTTATCAGTTGAAAATAATATTTCAAAATGTCACATATTTAGTATGCTTGAAAAAATTTATAGTAGTTGATTGGAATGGCGGAAAATACTTTTGATTGAAATAGGCAATGTGTGTTTATATATTTGTGATATTTGATAATGCATTTTTAAAAATATTGAAAAGAAAAAAGTTAATGTATTCAATCAAGTTTTGACAAAAAGAAATGAAGTGTGAATGTTAAGAAGTACATTTGTATTTTACCATGCAGTAGAATTTTAAAGAAATAAAAGTGAGAAATGTGATTGGTGCAGTATTTGCACATGCTATGACTATTTTCGGACAAAACCATGGGGCCGGTATTCTCTTTCTCTCTCTCACCAAAAAAAAATGCAAGTAATACAAATGTCCTTTTGTTAGTAGATAATAAAATGCAAGTAATACAAATGTCCTTTTGTTAGTAGATAATAAAATGCAAGTAATACAAATGTCATTTAGGGTGGTGGTGAGAGAGAGAAAGAGAATCAAAAGTGACGAATACCGGCCCCATGGTAAAAAGGACATTTGTATTACTAACATTTTATTGGTAAAAAGTAATAGTACTATTTGCACATGCTATGAGTGGTTTGGGACAAAACCATGGGCTGGTATTTTATCTCTCTTTCTTTTCACTTGTTTCTCTCTATCTCTCTCCCACTTCACACTCTACGATTTTGAACTTCCTACTATCTACCACTCCTTGCAAGAGAAACGGGTAAGTATTGTCCTTTTAATTTCTGTTTCTGATATATCAAACTGATTCCAGTACACTACTATTTGTGTTATTCAAGTTAATTCTGCCCAATTCTTGTAATATAAATAGCATTCATTGTAATCGGAATCCATCAAACTTGAAACAATGAAATCAACTTGTGTTATACTCATGGTTTTCTTTCTTTGTTTTGTGACTCTTGTTCAGGTTCAAGGCATCTCTCTTCACGAACCAGCGCACCCGAACTGCACGGTGGCGGTAGTGGTGTTGGAGAGAACACATGGAGGGTTCTTGCAGCAACTACCACCCGTGGGCTGCTTCAGGCATGGTAGCAGTAGTGGTGTTGGAGAGAACACATGGAGGGTTTTTGCAGCAACTACCACATGTGCATGGTTCAGAGTGTATGGGTGGTAGTTGCTGCAAAAACCTCCATGTGTTCTCTCCAACACCACTACCGCCATTGTGCCTGAACCAGCGCACCCGGACTGCACGGGTCGTAGTTGCTGCAAGCGGCCTCCTTGTGTGCTCTTAAGCCATGATAACTATGATCATGTTATTTGTAATCAAAATGATAGCTGTACTTATATGAGTGCAGATATTAAATAAACTTTATTTTTAATTATTTAAATAAACTTTATTTTTAATTATTTCTTGTCTTCCGTTACATTCTCTTTTAATTTAATTTGTATCTTCATATTTAGTTTTAAAGTGACTAGGACCAATTTCAACTTAAACTTTGTGTTAATGAGTTTGATTATACTAATATGTTTAATGAATTAACTTACAAACCACTAGTGCAGTTAATAAAACTTTTAAAAACACTAGCATACTACTAATCTAATAGAATAGTAATGAAACACTCCCAAAAATATCTGTTTTATTACAGACTCAGAGACTTGACTGCATTAGTTTCAAAGATTAGCGTTAATCCGTCATATATCAGTGGCATAACAATCATTAAAATCCTTAATATTGACATAATACTATTTGAAAATTAAAATTATTAGAAAAAAATAATCAATAAATTTCCAAGAAAAATCTCTCCTAATTAAAATGTTTATTCATAGCGGTGCAACCGTTGATTCTTTTTTTTTTTTCTTTCTCTGAGCATCTATCCAAACATTCATGAGAAAAATTCCAGAAATGATATTGAATTGTATTTTTAATTTTATTTTCTATAAACATTTCATAATTTTTTTTTAAGAAACTAGAACTTTTTGGCAGCTAGTTAACAGAGCCGTTGTGTGGTATATGTAATAAATTCACGTGACACTGCACCAATTGATTTATTTTAGTGTACAAGACAAATTGAAAAAAAAAAGACATTGCCTTTATATATATTTTTTATAAAAATATTTGTAAGTGTAAGAACAAAAGATTTTTAAGAAAGATGAAGAAGAAGAAAGAAAAGAAATATAAACTGAATTGTAAAAAATTATGATTTGTATTGAGTGAAGTTGTTATTAAGTTTATAGCATACAATGCCTTTATATAAGAAACTAAAACACAAATTAAAAATATACAAATCCACACATGCCCAAAACATAAGCAATGCAAAGTATAAAACTACAATTTGCACTTCCACATAACAATTATATGTTGTATTCGACTCAGTCGAATACAATTGAGTTCTACATCTCAACTAACTACTTCATCATAGAAGGATAAGGTCCAATGTACAAATACTAAATACCTAATTTTGACATCATTCAAAACCTCTAAGAGGATAGTGCACTCACATACTCCCTATTTTTTATGATGACAAAACGTATGATTTATTTGTAGTCTTTGATCAAAGCTCCCCCTGAATATGTGCATCTTTTCCCCCTTTGACAACATCAAAAAGAAGAAAAGAAACTATAATACGTAAGAAACATCAAGTAAAACACACAATCATATGTATACCACTCAGAGGCGTTGGAAAGATAAATTTTAACAACAATAACAACACTCACACAAAATGACGTTAAAGTAGAACACAATCATAAATAACTAGCAACACATTCAAAATCCAAAGAAGTTCATGAAAAACTACTACAAGATTAGCAAATGATAATTGCAATAAAATAGACATGAAATAGATGAAATGAAAATGCATACAAAATGATGTGAAGTCTATTGACCACAAGTAAGATGACTTAGTATCCACAACCTCTCCGGCGTCCACCTCTTAGTTGTGGTCTCACACCTCTATACCAGCCCTAACCATCATTCTCAAATCGAGCATCCAGAAAATCACACATTTCACGGTAGAATTTCGAGTAGTTATTATGGTTTTGATCTTGATAATGAAGGATATTGTTGATACTAGTAATGGTGGAGCCATTGTTGTATTCCATATTGGCGCAAATGCTTCGAAAATGATTTGTAACAAAAGAGGGAAAATTTTCAAATTTGGTGTCTTGAGTAGTCATGTGTTGTTGAACCAAACAGAAATGCTCATCTTGAGCGGATCCAAAAGCAGCGTGCTTACAAGACTCTTCTTGTTGGCACTCTAGTTGCTGAAGACGTATGTGTTATACCCCAAAGTTTGACCCCAAGATCCTCTCATCATTCTAGGAGTATCAAAATTGTTTATCTAACCTTAACAAAGTTCAAGTTTGTCTTTGTCAAGATGCAGATGAATTAGGATTTTCATACAGTAAAAAATCAGGATTTCTATGGATTGACCAGTCAAGGTTTTGGATTGATCCTCCACGTAATAATTCTCTATGTCATCGAGGACATCACATTTGATCAATGATGAATTCAATTGGAGGTGGTCACCAAGAAAATTGAGACAGTGCAGAGCAAGAACCCTATTTAGGATTTCTTGATGAAAAAGTCAACTATAACTTTGACTTTTGACCTAGAGAGGTCTCCAATGATGCAATCATGGTCCATGAGGCTCATAGGACCTATTTAAGTCTACTAAAGAAGTTTTAAAGGCTCAGGAAACTCAGAACACCAACAGTTGATCCAAAGGTTTTCGATCGTTTCGGTTCGTCTGACTGAAAAGTCAACCCATTGACCTTCAGGATTTTGACCCCAAATTGAGACCAACTTAGTTTCTAACATCATATCTGTAACAGCCCAAATTTCATTAATTAATTATTAATGTAATTAATTTAATTAATTGACTTATTTTAATTATTGGATTTATTTGGTAGAGAATTTGTGAGAAGAGAAATGGGAAGGAAAGAAAATAAGGAAGTATATAAGGGAAGTGGAAGAGAAAAGAAAAGATAGTAAGATAAAGAAAATAGAAGAGAAAGAATAGAGAAAGAGGAGAAAAGAGAAGAGAAGAGGGAAACTTGGAGAAATCATCAAGAATCAACTTCAAGCTTCAATCCAATCAAAGTAAGGGTGAGAAACATTATTATTTGATCAATGTGTGTGGTTATGTATGTGTGGGTTGGGGTTTGTTATAAGTTTCCACCATTTTCCAAGTTAGGGCAAAATGGATTTAATCGGTAGAATCGTGGTTTAATCGGTTAGAAACTGAAATAATTGGTATAGATGAGTTGGGTGTGGTTGGACCAAGGTTATTGAGACTGGTTTATCATGAATCGATCAGTTTTGGAGAGTGGAAGTTTTGGGGCAGATTGGGCTTTCTGGTTTCGCAGGTTCGCTGGCTCTCGCCAGGCGAGTGGAGGCGAAGCCCAGCGAATGACTGGCGAATAATTCCACAAAAACTCCCAGTGGTCTTCGCTGGCAAGTTCGCCAGGCGAAGGTGAGTGGCGAAGGTTCGCCAGGCGAGTACATTAGCGAAGGGTAGCGAAGCAAGTCAGTAGCTACTGACTTTGTTCGCTGGCGAGTTCGCCAGGCGAAGGTCCAGCGAGCATTCGCCAATGGCTTCACCAGGCGAAGGGTGACGAGCAGGACAACATAGTTTTTATAACATAGTTTTTATTTTCTGTTTTATCCATCCAATGATTGATTGCTTAGTTCAATTATGTTAATCCTATGTGATATGAATAAGCTTGTGTACTATTGTGGTGAGCTGTGGGTAGCCTTCGGGCGTGAATCCTAGATTGTGATATGTGTATTGTTTGAATTGCTTAGGAATACATGAGAACATATTAGCGAATATGCGTGTATTGTCTAATAAGCATGAGAGTGTATATTGTTTGTATGCTAATGTATGTAATGCATGGGAACATATCGTGGATATGTGTGCATTGTTTTCATGAATGTGATGATGGTATTGAATGCATAATATTGTATGCAATTGTGTGTTAAGTATGCATGAGAACATTGTGGATATGTGTGCATGACTTGTGAAGTACGTTAATGGTATTAAATGTGAATGCCTTGATTTGTTGAGAATATGTTGTGTGTGCAATCATGTTGTAATTCTTGAAGGGATGAATTATTGAATGCATGGGATTGAGACGCGGGAACGGTCTTAAGTGCATTTTTGTTGGTTGATTGCATATGTCATGTGGACCATCGCTCCGGGCGTAACCAAACTGTCGTAAAGCTAGAGATGGGTTGTAGGTGATGCCTCCTCTTATGCCTAGAAGCGGCACGTTAGGAAACTCCCCACAACGGTCAATGATGGTGACATTCTCCGTAGATCTGGAGCACCAATGGATGTCTGAGTGAGAAAGTGACATGATCCTCTTGGACCATCTGAACCCTTGCTCATTCTTCATTACTGAGCGAGGAAGGTGAGAAATAAACCACCTAGAAAGTAAAGGTATGCAGCACATCAAAGTTCCTCTTGCTCTTGTAGTACGGGTGTGAAGAGAATGTAGGATGTCTCCAAGTAAGGTAGGCACTGGATTGTGAATCAGGAATATGTTGATGGCATGAACGTCTATGAACTGATCAGGATTGGGGAACAACACTAAGCCATAAATCAATAAGGCTAAGATCTCCTCAAAAGCATCGTAGCTCATAGCTTTCAAGAACATTTGAGCTTTATCCACTAATACCTTGGCAAGAATACCTTTAACTCCACTTCTCGTCTCTAGAACAATGTCAGACTTCTTCAGATGTAGAGCTGCAGCAACAACTTCTGGTTTAAGCTCCTTCTCTAAGCCTGTGAATGGCTTCTGATCAAGAACAGGTATACCCAGAAGTTTAGAGAACTCCTCCATGGTTGGAACCAGCTGATAATCAGGAAATGTAAAGCAATGGTGCTCAGGGTCAAAGAACTGAAACAGCACACTCATCATGTCTTCACTGAACCCTGAAGTAACTAGATCCAATAAGTGACCATGCCTCTTGTTGAACTGGGAATGATCAGGCACTAGGGAAACCAACTCCTTGAGCTTAGCAGTATCCCTACAAAGTTGATCCTGATGGTGTTTCTACGAGCAGAAGCCATGACCTGCAACAAAGAACAAAGATAAATCCTTTGGTCCTTGAAATGGTTAGGGAAAATGATATGCTTATGATGCATGATGATGTCATGATGTTATGTTCAA